AAACTGCCACCCCCTCCCTGCCCTCCAAACTTCCCACCCACGCTGACCTCACCTTCCGAGAGCCGCTCCTTCCAACCCTGGGCTGCTGAAGTGAAGAACTCGTTGTTGAGAGCCGAAGTGCTCAGCTTCAGCAAACCGTCCACCCCAGCCTGAGAAAGAGAGAAAGGAAGAGAAAGAAAGAGAAAGAGAGAGAGAGACCATGAATGATGACGGGACAGCCAGGCTCTCTTTGCCCCCCCACCCCACCCCTGCCACAAGACTCCTGGCCACAAGAGGGGCTCTCTTAGGAGAAGCCAACACACGCATGCACAGGCTCTGGACTGAGGAGGCACAGCCGAAATAAGAACTGTCCAAATCCTTGGTAGGAGGAGCAGGCAACTGAGGGTGGGCGCCGCAAGCCACAGGCCACTGAACGTGCTGCCGTGGGCAACTCTGAATTGGCCCAAGGGGGCAGAAGCCTCTCTGGAAGCAGACAGGGGCCAGCCCAGGCCCCGCACACTGTGGTCTGGTCTGTGTGTGTGTGTGTGTGTGTGCGTGCGTGCGTGCGTGCGTGTGTGCGTGCGTGCGTGCGTGCGTGCGCCGGGAGCAGTGGGTGGAAGGCGACTCACCATCCCCTGACCCTAACCCTTCCCCCCCCCTCGGCCCACCGCTCACCTGCCGGTCCACCTCCGGGAGCAGCAGAAGCAGCCGCTGCTGGCCGTCCACGGGGAGCAAGGAGAAGGTGTGCTTGTTGATCAGAGCCCGGAGGTTGGTGTTCACCAGGATGGAGTCGGGCGTCTCCACGTCAATTTCGGCACATTTCGTCCTCTTCAGCTGCCCTGGAAAAGGAGCACAGGTCGGCATCATCCTGATGGCAGCAGACGGGGCAGGGGTGGCAGGAGAAAGAGCTCCCCCCTCCTCCCCAGGCACAGCTCAATGGGAGGGGAGGGGGGTCCTTTTCCTAGAAGCTCGGTGGCTACTCTCAGCCCCCGCTCTCCCCACCTCCTGCCAGTGGCTTTGGCTCTGGAAGAAACCCGGGGGGTGGGGGTGGGGGAGCCCTGAGGCAGAGCAGCAGATGGGGCAGGGGTGGCAGGAGAAAGAGCTCCCCCCTCCTCCCCAGGCACAGCTCAATGGGAGGGGAGGGGGGTCCTTTTCCTAGAAGCTCGGTGGCTACTCTCAGCCCCCGCTCTCCCCACCTCCTGCCAGTGGCTTTGGCTCTGGAAGAAACCCGGGGGGTGGGGGGGGAGCCCTGAGGCAGAAGGACCAAGGGCATACTTCTTGACAAGGTCCCGGGCAGCTGCTCAAAGCATCCCACAACAGGCTACATCTTGGCCAGAGGGAAGGAGGGCGGCTGCCTCAGGACCACCTCGTGCTCTTCTTCAATAGCCCGAAGAACAACTTCCACTTCCTTGAGAACTTCCAGCAAGACGTCAGCCCTCTTTCTCCCAACTTTCCATCCCGGGCAAACGTCCTGGGCCTCCCAAGAGCATCTTCTGTTCTCACAAACTGGGGGTGGGTGGGTTCCCCCCCCTTTTATTTTTATTTGCCTTACGGAGGGCCCTTCCCCCCCCTCCCCACCCAAAGTCATGCTGGTCTTACTTGCATGGAGCCTGTCTGATCGCGGGAACGGCTTCTTCCCCAGGACGGGCAGGGAGGGCTCGGCTCTGACAGAGGGAGAGGAGCTTGAGGTAGAGGTGGGGGGGCTACTTGAGGGTCCCTCAGACGGCTTCCCTTCCCAAGCTGCGAGGGAAAAGCACAGACGGGTGAGTTCAGGGAGGTGCCGACTGGGCCTCTGGCGTCATCCATGTGGTTCAGGTTTGCCAAGGGCAAGCTGGCTGCTCTCCGTTCATTTATGGCCAGGCTCTTCTGCCCGCTCCTGACAAGCCCAAGGGGACGACTGGGAGGAGTTGCCTGAAGACGGGGCCAGAGGGCCAGGGTTAGGGCAAGGGCAGCCGGCCAGCAGGTCATACCGGGCTTTGCAGGAGCCGCGTGGTGGCCAGCTGCCTTGGCATGCTGCTGGAGGAGGTGGTGGTTGGAGGAGATCGGCCCGCTGGCTCGGCACTCCTGCTGCTTCCGCTGCTGCTTCCGCTTCAGAGCCTGGAAGAAAGAGAGGGAGGTGGGGCACGAGAGGCGGCGGGGCCAGCAAAGGGACCCCCCTCCAAGAGGGAAGCCCTGCTCAGCTGGCACGCCAAGGCACGCCCTTCACCAGAGGGCTCAGGGTGGAGGAGTAGGGCTGTAACCTTTATTTATTCTTTGGCTTCTTCCCAAGTCAATGGCCTCCCTTTCCCTACCCAGTATGTTACACCTCCCTTGGATACTGTTCTATTTGGCCCCCTTTTAACATTTTCTATTGAGGTCCTGCTTCCCTGTTCTGCTTCTGCTTTCTTGTCAGGCGTTTTGAATTTTTCTGGTGGGACTTTTTCAAGCTCCTCCCACAGTAAGAGACAAGGGGTGTTCCTCCCTTCCTCTGGTCCTGCCTCTACTGATCCTTCTATAGCGGGAGGAAGGAACCCATGTTCTTTAGAACAGTGGTCCCCAACCTTTTCCGAATTGTGGACCAGTTGGGAGGCGCGGGTGTGGGGCAAGGTCTTTGCGCGGGGAGTAGGGCACATGTGCAAGGGGCCCCGTACATGCGTGCACAGGTAGGCAGGGCCCCCATGTGTGCACCTGCGAGTGGGCAGGGCATCCGTGTGTGCATGTCCATGTGTATGTGTGTGCATGGGGGCAGGAGATCTGTCTCCACGGCCTGGTCCTGCCAAGGCCATGGCCCAGTACTGGGTTGCAGACCAGAGATTGGGGACCCCGGCTTTAGAAGACCAAGGGCTTCCTCCCGATGAAAACACCAGAGTTACACAGTGAAGAAAGCAGGAAAGGCAAGGCAGGCAGGCTGGATGGCTTTTCAAAAGGGGAATCCAGGACCTCAAGAGAGACATTTGGAACAAGACTGAACAGAGCCTTTCCCACTGCTCTTTGGAACGCTCCCCTCCACCGTGCCATCTTCTGACGAAGCTCACTGGACTGACTCAGGAAAACAGGAAGGATGGGGCGGGCAAAGCTACCAGGGCATGGCCAGAGAGGCTCAAGAAGGCAGGGTGAAGGCTAGGAACCTTAGCTCCCAGGTGCCACCTTCCGCCCCAGCGGGCATCCGTCTGCATTTCCGGGCCATCTAGAACAGGAGGGGATGTATGTAGGGGGTTCAGGGATAGAAGGCAAGCAGGCCACAAGGAGGAGAAGCCAAAGAGGTAAGAGCTGCCAATGAGGGAGGGGTATGTGAGAGGGAGGGGGGGCTTCCTGCTAGTTTTCAGTTGTAGGAACAATGTTCAGTCATCGAGACCTGTCAGCAGAGCAACTCTGGGAAACTTTGTTGGGTCTCTTCAATTTCTTTTGGGGGACAAAGGCAGGACAGATGCAAACCCCACAAATGAGCAAGATCATGAATGCCGGCGACCCCCTTCCCAGCAAGCTCGTGGGATGAGGTTTTAACCCTGGCCACGTCGCTATCGGTCTGTTCGTATCAAGGAGCTGTCGCCTATGTCGGAACCCCTTCTGGGCCCCCTGCTTGGGGTCTCAGAACTGGGGCAGAGGAATCCCTCGATAACAGACCAGCTTCCAAATTGTTCTTGGCTCTTGAAGCAGGAAATAAAATTGCAGGAAGGAGAAGGGACAGCAAGCAAGAGAGCCACGAGATGGACACAGTTAACAGAAACAACACCCCTTCGGCCTGTGGCCCCTCACCCCACAAGCCAAGAGGGCCAGGTGAACATGGCTCAAGGCTGCTCCACTTACCTGCTTGAGTGCTTTTTTGCTGTGCTTCTGAGAGGACGAGATGACTTTACCTGCTGAGAGAGGAGACGGGCAGCCTGCCTGCGGGGAGGAGACCTGAGACAGCCTGGTGGTCACTGGAGAGGAACAGAACAAGAGGACAGGGAGATCTGCAGGAGCCCAAGCATCTTTTGTCCTTCCTCTGGCCAGGGAACCAAGCCTCACATCCACCGGATGTTTATGCCCAAGGTGGGCTCTGCCTGCCCTAGAGCGGGCCAGGAAGCGAGGGGTGGGGGGAAAACCCCTCTCCATTGACAAGCACCAGCTATAGAACCTTCCTGGGACTGGCACAAAGAGCCTCTTAGATTTGAACTCAATTGCCCACATCCGGTTCAGCGCCATGGAAGGATGTTCTGCCCCCACCCAGCCCCCGTATGAGGCAGGGCTAGTCAGAGGGCAGGCAGGGGTCAGCCACGAGGCTTCTGTGAGTGAAATCACTGGAGTAAACCATTTGCAAGCATCATCAAGAACACAGAGAGAGAACTATGTTTGCAGAGAGTCCAACAGCAAAAGCTACCTTTGACAAGGTGCTAATTGGCAATTTTAAGAGTTGGTTTTGCTAAGTGACTTAGCAAAGCTCTGTTCCATCAATGCCTTGGGGAAAAAATCAACAAGAACTCAGCTGAGGAGAAATGAAACCCCTGTGAGCACCCTTTTGCCTTCAGATCAGGCAATCCCACTAGACAGAAAGTGGACACCAGTGATGTCAGCCCTATCAGCGCATATTGAAACCATCCCACCACCAGCAGAACAACAACAAGAGCAAAGGTGATTCTCAGGTAAAAGGAGATGATTCCAGGATCGGCTACCCTGCAATAAGCTTTAGATCATGTAATTGGTGAGTTTTTAATTTTAATTCACCTTTGCCTAGTCAGATGCAACCTGTGGGAGGAAAGGCCAGTGTAATCACAAAGTCTTATTGGCACCCTGAAGATTGAGTGATGTACGACAGATGGCTTCAGGCAGGCAACAAGGTCATTTAAGTATAGCAGGTCTATTCATCCTTAAGGTGTTGCGAGACCTTGTGCTATTTTTACTGCAACAAACAGTCCTGCTGCCCTTCTGAAAGCCAACGGGGCTAGCGGACTCCTCTGTGGGGAGCCTCAGATGCCTTCCATTGAGGGAAGGCATGTCCTTGTCCAGGCCAAAGATTCCCCCCCCCCCGGGCCTGGGGCTCCCTCACCCAACCTAGGATAGGATATCCATCTGCTCCAGGTTAAAGAGAGAGCAAATCTTCCACCTGGCGAGGGAATAGAATGGGGGTGGGGGGACCAGCCAGGGCCTTGAAGTCACCCGTCAGCCCAGAGGGGCCTGCATGGCAGAAGGCACAGGGCCTCTGTGAAGACACCCTGACAGCCAAGAGAAACCATTTGAAGCGAATGAAATAGAACCCACTCTTCCCGAGCTCACCTCTGCCAGCTGTTCTGACAAAGCAGGATGTTTCAATGTCTCCCACACTTAACTCCAAGAAGACCTAGTACAGCCTTCTTGTTAAGGTAAGGGCCTTTTCTAACTGGGGCTGGTTTTCAGACTAACAGCTTTGCCTGTCTTAGCAGATGTTCAGTGCAAGGAACTGGGGAGGGGGAAGGATCTTTCAGTAATTTTTATATTTCATTTTTGTAACTATTTTTTCCCCTCAAGGTTTTGCCTGATAGGCTTGGACAGACCAACGTGGCTCTCTCTTCTTAAACTACAACACAGAATCCTTGTTCACCATCCTTGCGGGCGGGAGATCAGAAGGAATCTAACTGGGCAACGGCCCTGCCCATTCCTTGAGCTTCAGTACCAGAAGGTGCTGGGAGGGATGGTGGGGGCTGGAGTTTCCTTTGGCAGCTTCCCCACTGGTTTCTGGTATTCCACAGAAAAAGAGGTTGTCTCCCGTATTGTTCAACCTCAAGGTGTCCAGCCGAGAAGACCAAAAGGGCCTTTGGTCATCTGAGCTGGATACAACAGCCACACCCCTTCCATGGCATTACAAGCCACCGTTACGTTTGGTTCGGATTAACGCTCTGCACAGGAACACCTCTGTCCTTCCTTTGCTCCAAAATGCAGGTGCCTTTGCCCATGAATGGCTGGTTGACCATCTCTTAGTCATTATAATCCTGAAAAATGGAATTGACAAGGCTGGCAGCAGCAAAAACGGAGGCACTCGTATGATGTTTATAATGATATGAGTGCCTCTGTTTTTGCTGCTGCCAGCCTTGTGCCCCTCCAGCCTCACTGGCGGACACAGGATTCGATACGGCAACAAACGTCGGCCAGCGGGGACGTCCTCCACAGGCGGATTGTTCGAACGCCTCTGGGCACCTGTGGCAGAGCAGAGATCCTCCATCTCTGGTGACCTGTCAGATGCACACCGGGCACCAAGAAGAAGCTGAGCAGCCCAGGATGAAAACAAATCTCACTGGGAAGATTTCTTCGGCTTGTTCTCATCTGGAAGTCATTCTGGGGAAACTCACAGATAAAAACACCGAGTTTAGACTTGCTTAAGTTTGGCTGGACTAAGCTCTCAATGCTGCCTGGAACAGCACCTTGCTGTTGATGACATCCTGGGCTTAGTAACTGTTGTTTCACAGTGCATTTTCAAAGGACTTGAACCCCTTATTCTTCTAGCTTCCGTGGTCACATGCAGTGGCTGCCAGTCCTGGATCCACGGGCCCAATCCTCCAAAGACAGCCCAGAGCCAGAAGCCCTTGCTCAGCATTTCAGAGTCCAAGCAAGCAGGTATGCTCAGACGACAAGAACCACACGCCCCTCTGGGCTGGGCGCTCCTGGAGCGATGGCAACGTGCAGGAGACGAGGGTGGCCACAGGCGCCAGGGCCGCCCACAAGGAACACAACTATCTCTATTGGTGAGCCTTGCAAAATGTTCACGTACAGCTACTCTTCAAACTAGAAAAGCTCCACTACACCAAAAGAAGTAGAAGAAGAAGAAAATATTTCCTATTTCAGGAACCCTCTGATGCACACACCATCTTGAACAAAGCCATCTCCACTAACGAAAGGCTGATCCACTCAGGGCCGTGCGAACAACTGGCTCAGGGGGGTACCACCTGCACCCACTCCCGCCTGGCTGTCTGGTGTAGGGAAGGGGAAGTTGTTGGGAAAGCAGGGGGAGATTTGTGGCCAGCAGCAACGGCTAGGGTTCATCTCCCCCTAGCTCACCCACCTGCCGGCTTTCAAGCAGCTCCTTCTGGAGAGACAGAGGCAGCTGCCCCCACCTTCCACTCCTGCACTTGTGGGCAGCAAAGGAAGCCCGCCATCCGCTTCCCCTTCAAGGCAGGGCCGTTCAGCCTTACCTTGCAACGGCATTTGAGAAAACTCCTTTCTAGCCATGGTCGCTGCAAGGCTGCAGCCAGCCTGTGCTTTCCACCAACTCTTGCTTCGGGCAGAAATAGGAGACCAACAGCCGTGGTCAAGGTGGGCTTTTAAACACCACCCTTTGGTCCTCTTGCTTCACCTAAGGTTCTGGACGGCCAGACCTGAAGACGTGGGGGGGCTTATCCCCGTTCGAAAAAGTGTCCGTTCGACTGCTGTCAGAATGCTTTTTTCTGCACATATAAGGAAGTAGGTTGTTGATGCGATTTGAAACAGCTTCCTGTTTTGTATGTGCATGAACAGCAGAGATGCCACATTGAATGAGGCGGCAAAGCCCAACAAGGACCACGCACACAGAATACACAGCGTGGTGGTTTCCTCTCCCACTCCCCAGTGACGGGAGGGGGGGTGTTCTCAGGACAGCCCGGGCTCACCACGCCCTGCTCTAACAACGTGGCTGGAACCACTCCTGGCCTTCGAAGAAGGATGGGGTGCGGATCCGCAGGAGGTAGAGCAGCTCTCTTCCCTTTGCCCACGCCCATGCGCCGGGCCTCTGAAAGGGGCTCGCACTGGGCCTTTGCAACCAGCCAGGGGGATTCCCTGCGACTCACATGGGGGGGACACGGGGAAAGGAGTCCCCATGGCGGCTGCCTCCCCCCTAGGGATTCGCTTCCCCACGTCCACCCTGGCGAGTCGTAGAGGTGCCGCCGAGCGCCTTTCAGAGGCGCAAAGAAACTGGTCTGGAGGGGCGTGGAGGTTGAAGGGCTGCTCTAGCCTGATGTCTCCCCAGCTCCCGTCTGCCCCCCGCCCAGGTTCAACCTGGGGAGGTTCTTGCCAAAGTGCAGGACTGGGAGTTCAACCAGCCTCTCCCTCTGTGGAGTCCACGAAGCCAAGGGTGGTGAGACCTCCCACTTCCGGCGGGATAGTCACCGGAAAGAATTCTCCTTTCCAAAACCGTAAGATGGCAGAAAGAGCCCCCAGTTCACAGTGGCTGCAATCAGGACAAGGGGAGCGTTCGGCAGTGAACACCCCCTCCTCCCTCCCAGCTTCCATGGCAGCAGAGAATTTTTTTAAGCTATCAAGTGCTTCTTCCACAGGCCCAGCTGTTCCTCCACCAGAAGAGGAAGAATGGGCTCCGGTCAGAAAACCACAGACAAGGCCCTCAATCTCTCTATGCAGGCAGCCTCTGACCTTGGGGGGGAGGGTTTGGTTGGGAGCTTCTGCAACACACCCGTCCCCCAGCCTTCCGCCAACAAGAATGATGAGAAGCTACAGAACTAAAACGGACAAAACACAAATGCAGGAGGAGACCCTTCCTTAAACATGCTCGCTACAAGATTCCCAGCCGTTTTCAAGTCATCCCGGGGCTTCTGTGTGATTCTGGAATGGGACAGAGAGCTATCTTCCCCTTTTCCTGGAATTCTTTCCAGCCAGCTCAAAACTCAGGAGGGAAAAACCCAGCCACAGCTGAACTGCTGCCGTATTTTGCTTTACAGAGATCTACCGTGGATGAACCACACTCATTAAGAC